ATGTAATACGATTATCAAAGCCAATCACATCTATTTATTATCGTTAACAATATTTTAGGTTTTTCATATTAAATTAATCTAAATTTAACGACAAGTAATTACTTTTAGTCATCGCTAGAAATCGCGGACGTTTGAATCCCGAAACATCCCTTACGTCTATGCCCCTTATTACCCCTTTCGATCCACGAAATTTATTATTCTAAATATAACTAAAAACATTACTAAAAGGACTACAAAAAGGATTATTACAAAATGTAATAATACTATAAACGATTACAAAATGTAAACAAACAAAAAACAGAAGAAAAGTGCTTTCGAATGATACATTTTGGGTCATTTTTGCCTAAAAAATCATCGCCAAACCGCGACATTAGAACCTGATGATCGTGTCTAATAAACGAACCTTTGATTTTATGCAAACTTGGAATGAAGCAAATACACATTGACACCACAGATTAAGATATGCGAACAATTGTTTTGGATACTAATGTATGCATATTATTTAAATATTACCGCACATTTTTAAGTTCATCGATTATTAAGGTGGCTCGATACAGTTTTCAAAAATTCAGGTGTTCAACACTTTGAAATGTTCAAACTATGCATTTTTAGAATATATTCAGCAGATATTGGGTTTTTTATATATTTCGATTCTCTACTTTCAAATTATATTATTTTTAGTAACAGATAGTTCGTTGCTATGACGACATACGTGTACAAAATACACTCCAAAATGGCCTTTCGTCTCGTATAGTTGGAAAAGAAGCATGGTGACCCCCAATTTTTTTTCTTGCATTATTTTACTTGGACAAAAAGCTAACAATTAGCAAAATATAAAAAAATTCTGTAATGCCATTTTTTTGGAAAATGCGAAAATGTCATATTCTTCGGTAAAATTTTTTTGGCATTACAGAATTTTTTTATTTTTTGTATAATGAAAGTTTTTAGCGGTGCAATACAGCATACAAAATTTGAACATAGGTCACCAGACAAAATAAAGAGATATAGCGCATTGTTTTTCTAAAATGGAAAATTCTAATGACGTCAGCAATTGACATAAAACGCTATATAGAACACGCGAAATGACGTGAGATGGCGCGAGCAGCTGCTTACGTCAGGTCATTTTGGAAGTTCTGTCATTTTGTTAATCAGTTTCCGCGACCTGCGCGTAAAAATGGTCACCCGGTTTTGAGTTCGCGATTCTTGAGCAGGGTTTTCGTGATAACTATATCGAGCCACCTTAAGCCGTAATTTGACTTTGTAAAATGTGGATTATTGTCGTTTTGATAAATTAGTTAAAAATCCTGCCGCACATTTGATTGCGTTGTTGCCCAGTTTTAAGTATCGTAAATGATCATTATATTTTATTAT